CTCTGCCTCCCCAAATGTAAAATAAAAATTTTAAATGTTTTTTTTTTTTAAAGAGTTCAAGGTCATTCCCAGAGATTTAGATTGTTTGAGGCCAGCCAGGGCTATATAAAATGCAGAGAGTGTGGCGAGGAGAAAGAGGAGGAGGAGAGGGAGAAGAAGGGAAGGAAGAAAAACAAAACAAAACAAAACAAAACAAAACAATAAAAAACAAGTCATGTTCCCTAGTATCTCGGATGACTTGCTGGGATGGAGCCCACTGAAGGCCTGTCCCATCTAACCCTGCAGAGTTGGAAGGGAGCATGCTCAGAGCCCCCGGTGAGGTGGGGTGGACATACAGACCTGCCGAGGAAGCAGAGCTGGTAAAGATGGACTCTGACAGGCCATCAGGGAAGGTCTGGTGAAATTCTTTAGCCTGGGGGCATGGGACGTGGGGAATTCTGGTTGGGGTTCACCAAGTGCTCCCCGAAAGTGTGTAGACCCCAATCAAAGATGTCTCTGTGGAGCCCTCACCAGCTTATAAGAACCAGCTCCCCCAGCCTCGGGTTGCCACAGCACTGCGTCTGCCCCAGTTTTTGCTCCTCTAAGTCGCTGATATTTAATAGAAAACCCATTAGCGTCCCGTGATGGAGCCACCAGCTTAGATGTAGGTTGGGATCATCTGGGAAATAAATGACACGGAAACCGTTCTGTGGCCTGGGCCCCAGGAGGGGGAGCTATTTTTTCCTCTTTCTTACATAAAACATCCTTGCAGCTAGCCACAGACTCTTTTGAAACCAGGCTGTTGCTGCTGGCTTTGATTCCAAAGCTGCAATCGCAGGTGTGTGTCGGGGGGGTGGGGGGTGCGGCTGGTGTTACAGACGATCCTAACCACTTTGAAGACAACAGAGCTGTGAGCAGGGGACCTTAGGAAATGCTTCCTGGCTGCCGTCTTTAGTTCCGCCACGTAAACATGCATGGTACCTGCTGTGTGCCGGGTCCTGGGCCTGAAGCTGGACTGGAGTCAGATACGGAGCCACCATAGCCGATGGGCGTATAGACAGTGACCTACGAAGATTCCAAGTGCCAATATGTGAGGACTCAAACATGCAAAAAGTGGCTCTGCTTAGAATCCCTCAATACCACCTGCTGGTGATAAATCATCCTCTCTACTCTCTCTGTGCTAGAAAGCCTGCCCTGGGGCACTGGGTAACCACTTAGAAGGCCATTGGGGACCTTAGAGATAGCTGTATATGAAGGTACTTGCCACACAAGCCTGGAGACCAGAATCCCACCCCCAGAACCTGTGTAAAGGTGGAAGAAGAGAACCAACTCCACAGGTTGTCCTCTGACCTCCATACTTGGGCTGTAACATGCATACACATACATAATAATAATAATTTTAAAAGGATTTCTTTATTTTATGGGTATTGTGTATGGCTCAGTGTTGTGTACTGTGTTTGTGCAGTACCCATGGAGGCCAGAAGAGGGCACAGGATCCCCTGGAACTAAAGTTACAGAAAGTTATGAGCTGTCCAAGGTGTGTTCTAGGAATCCAACCCGGGTCCTCTGGAAGAGCAGCAAGGGCTCTTAGCCATGGAGCTGTCTCTTCAGAGCCACCTCCCTCTCTTTCACTAAAGCAGTCAGACATAAGTTCAGTTCCAAGATTCAGTAGCAGAATCTGAAAAATGGCTCAGGAGAAAAAGGCACACTATCTTTGGAAGCCTGATGATCTAAACTTGGTCCCTGTAACTCACAGTAGGAGAGAATGGACTCCCAAAAGTTGTCCTCTGACCTCCGAGTGTGTTGTGGCACACACACACACACACACACACACACACACAATTATGCAATAAAACTTTAATGACAGAAAGATTAAAGTTCACTCATAGGTCATCATGTACTGTTTTGTCAGGACACTGGATGAATTTACAGATAGCAGGTCACTGGATAAAAGAATGGGCTTTAGCCAGGTGCAGTGATACACCTGTTATCCAAGCACTTGGGAGGTAGAGGCAGGAGGACACCAAGCTTGAGGCCAGACTGGACTATAGAACAAGAACCTGTTCAGAAAAGAAAAAAAAAATTAAAAGGAAAGGAAAAAGAAAGAAAGGAAGGAAGGAAGGAAGGAAGGAAGGAAGAAAGGAAGGAAGGAAGGAAGGAAGGGAAAACCAGTTCAGTTTGGTGGCTTGGGCCTGTCATCTCAGCCACTCTGAAGGCTAAGGCAGGAGGAGGACAGGCTGCAGGCCTGCCTGGGCTGCAGTGGAGAGTCAAGCTCGGCCTGGACAGCTGAGTGATACCATCTCAAAATAAAAAAGGGGGAAAGACTGGGAGTGGAGAGGAGCTGGAGAAGACACACACATTGGCTCCCACAGGAGCACGGACACACGCAAACACACACGCACAAGGAAGGCTGGGGATGTAGCTCAGTGGCGCTTGCTTTGCTTGAGGGCTACATCCTCAGCACTGCAAAACAGAAACAAAGAAAATTAGTGAGAAGGCAGGGAGAGGGGGAGGGAAAGAGGGAGCGGGAGACAGAGGGAGAGAGAGAGAGAGAGATTTAGGAATATTAAGCTCCTTTCCAGGAAACATCGTGTGCATTTTGCACACCCAGTTTCAGTGGCCCCACGCCCCTCTGAATAGAAGCCCCATTATTAGCATTAGCTAGTTATGTGCACAAAGAGAAAGAACACCCCAAGAAAGTTCAGAGACCGAGAGCTAAAATTCATGGCCAGGGCACACCTTCCGTAGCGCTTTTGTGGAGACTGAGTACTCTCTGTGGGAACCGCTAGCGAACAGCGATGCGGAAAGGAACAGCAGCATAGTATTGTAATAATAGTAACTAGCAATTAGCGAGCGCCTGCCCGTGCTTAAGCACTTCTGTTAAGTCATTTGATCCATAGAGTCTTAGGAATGGCTGTCCCTGGGCCGCTGAGATGGCTCAGAGTCCTGATGACCTGAGTTTGGTCGATAGAACCCACGTGGTGGGCAAGGACTGACTCCTGCAGTTGTTCTCTGACCTCTGAGGACACGAATATGTAAATAAATGTCCCGCAAAACAGGCAAACCATGGCTGCTCCTGGGTTCAAATCCTGACCCGATAACCTCGAAACACCTAGCACTTGTGTGAACTGTCCCTTCCACAAATCACTTCCCTGCCAGTCTTTCCTCTGTCAGCCTCTGAGAAGTTCGCTCTTTAGATGAAGATATTGATGGTCCCTGTGTCAAAGGCAGCTGAAGGGTTAGAATGGGGGTCAGCTGGGCAGAGTGTTTCCTGTGTCAGCGATCCTGTCGAGGACTCTCTGTGGCTCCACCAGGATCCTCTTCCTGCAGGTAGATGACATCTTGGGGGACCAGCCAACAGCCAAGGAGCAGGTGTTTGCTGCGCTGAAGCAGTTCGCTGCCGAGCAACGTGTGGACGAGCTGGTGTGGACGCTCACTGTGGTACTGCCCAGTGAGGTCCAGGGGCCGGTCCTGGACAACCTCAGGTACCTCTGCCGATGTCAACATGGGTTTCATTCCAGGAAGGGCATCTTGCCAGTCCAGGAGGGCCTGTGAGATGGTGAACAAAGGTCAGCCTGTCTCGGGGTGGTGGTGGGGTTAGGATGGTGGAAGGAGCTGTTGATGCTGGCCTGTGAAGGTAAAGCTGAATCTCCCGGACTCCATCCCAAACCAAGATGGCAGGGATCGCTCCTAGAACACCAAGCTACTCTTGGCTTCCTCCTGTGACTGAGCAGGGGCACATTATGAAGAAAACAGCTCTGTGTGGGCCCTGACACCACCCAGCCCTACAGGCAATGCCCACTCCCTGTCTTCTTCTTCTTCTTTTTTTTTTTTTTCTTTTTTTTCTTTTTGAATAGGGTCTCTTTTTGTCGCCCAGGCTGGCCTTGAACTCAACATTCTCCTGCCCTGGCTCCCAGATGAATGATATAATCACAGGTGTGAACCCCCACATCATTGAGCTCTATTTACTTACTTACTTCTCTCTCTGTTCTCTCTCTCTCTCTCTCTCTCTCTCTCTCTCTCTGTGTGTGTGTGTGTGTGTGTGTGTGTACAGGGTCTTACACATAGCATAGCCCTGGATGGCCTGAACCTTGCTGTATAACCCAAGCTGGTCTCAAATTCATGCCTATCTGTCTGCCCCCGCCTCCTGAGTTCTGGAATTAAAGCTGTCCGACAGCATCCCCAGCCATCTGCACCTTATCTTTTGAGACAAGGTCTCTCTCACTGAACTCAGGGCTCTCCTGCTTTACCTAGACTGGCGGCAGGGAACCCTAGATTTCGACCTGTCTGCCCCGCGCCCCCACCCCCGCCCCAACCCCGGAGTTAGAAAGAGCGCTGCTTTTTTTGGGGGGGGGGGTGCTGAGTGTGGAACTTAGGTCTTCATGTTGACTGTGCAGGGCCTCTACTCACTGAGCCATCTCCTCAGCCCCTACACTAGGGCTCTTTGATATCAGTTTGATGTTGTTGATGATGGTGGTGATGATAGTTTAGTGTGCCAAGGACCTCATTAGATCCCTGAAGAATGCTCTGTCACCAGATCGGCTCCATTCACACAGTCAGGTCGAGGACCCGAGGGGACGGTCATAGAACAAATCAGTCAGTGGCTGTGACAGGCTCTGGGACCCACTGAGCTGTGTGCGGTCACCTCTCCAGCTCACCGGCTAAGGACTGGAGAAAATTCCTGCTGGGTCCTGGCTTGGAGTGGCTCCAGGTGACCCAGGACCACCTCCAATCCCTGGCTCCCTTCGCTGAGGGCCTCATTTTCGTGCAGCTTCCATCTGACACTCTCTGGGGTTTTTCGGGTTTTTCATGCTCTCCTTGTGGGTCTTGCCTGGCTTTCTCTCCCGGCTCTTGCCTCTCCGGCCCGCCGTTGCCCCAACCCTCCCCTTCCCGGGCTCAGTCTGCCCCCTCCCCTCGCTGCCATTCACCCCGCGGTCTGCCCCTCCCTCTGGGCCTGGCCAATGTCAGGGACTGGGCTGGCCAGCCCCCCGCCCCCACCAGCCCGCGCTCAGCAGCTCGACTCCGCAGCGAAACGCACAGGAGGCCACCGAAAGAGGCCACCATGAGCTGTCTGGGGTGAGTAGGGGGACTGACTCTAGCTGAGAAGAAGAAGAAAAAAAAAAAAGCTCTGGATAGGAAAACAAAGAAAAAGTTATCTCTAGAGCGGAATTTGTCGTAGCTGATGCAGGGGGCTGAGGACGTCCTGGGGGAGGGGGGTGACAGACAGGCAGAGCTCGGGTCTGCCCAGTTCCATGAGGGCTGGGTGTGTAGGGGACCCAGCTGTCCCCGGGGAATCTGGCGCGTTCGTCTCCAGGCCAGACTCAGCGGGAGGATCGCTCGGATTTGCTGGTTTCATCTCGGTGCTGCGGGGCTTCTGTCTCCGCCGCCTCTCTTGGGACAGCGACGGCGTCTGCCTCTCCGCTGGCTGCCTTTCTCGCTTGTCAGCGGAGGATCGGGAGAGGAGGGGGTGGTCTAGATTTAGATCCTGGAGAAAGCGGGAACCCCTGGACGCTCCGGGATGCCCCGGTGGCCCGCTGCTTCCCTGGGCGCTGCTGGGAGGATGAATGGGAAGCCTGTGTTGCCAGCGGGTGACAAGTGCGACAGGAAAATTGGGGAGGTTGTTGGAGGAAGGGGCGGCGCCCAGCTGGGCTCCGAAGGGAGGGTAAGGCGGCAGCGGGGACCTCAGACAATGTCTCCCCACCCACCCCCCGCCGCGCATTTTCTAACGCCTCCCTCCCTGGAGCTGGCCAGCTGCCAACGTCCCCACTGTGTCCTGGCCTCTTGGGATGCCGGGATTCGGGTGCAGAGCTTTTTGGAGAAGTGTCAAGAGCGAAAAGGAAACATCACAGCCGCAGCTAGCTGATTCTGAGAGCCGAGTCCAAGTTCAGGGGCAGCCCATGGCTAACCCAGACTCCTGTAGTCAGGGCAGGGACTCAGCAGGTGTCAGCAGAAGTTGGGCCTCAGAGGGGTCTGGAAGTCAATCGCCCCTATTCACACAAGATGAGTAGGGGCCCCCTGGCCTGCCACTGAATAAGGGCAAGGAAGAATCACTGCCCTGGCCCAGGGAACCCACGGGGCAGGTAGACACGGCTTAAATAAAAGGTTAAATAGACAAAAGGTGGTAGGTGATGATGATGATGATGATGATGATGATGATGTGTGTGTGTGCGTGCCTGTGTGTGTGTGTGTGTGCGTGTGCGCGTGCCCATGCGCTTGCGCGCCTAAAGCTTTCTTTAGAGCCACGCCTGAAATCTCAGCTCCTTGGGAGGTTAAGGCTGGAGGATCACAAGTTCAAAGCCTACCTGAGCAGTTTATCAAGACCCTGGCTTTAAATAAATAATCTTCCCACGGAGGTTAGAACCCACGCACAGCACAGGAGTGTGGCCTGCGGTCGGGAGGTGGCGCCTGGGGAGGTGGCGCCTGGGGTGTCTGCGGCCGCCCAAGCAGAGGGGAGAGTAGCCGTGGAGGGAGACCGCTCCTGAGCCCTCCCCACAGTAGCCACTAATTACAAGTGCTTATTTAATATGTATACATTTTCACAAAGTTAGGTGACCACGCGCCAGTAATCCCAGCACTCAGGGAGGGCTGAGGCACGAAAACCGCAAGTTCATGGCCAACCTGAGTCACGCAGCAAGGCCCCTGGGTTGAATTCTCAGCACTGCATAAAACCAGGGAGGGCGGCACGTGAGAGGCCGAGGTAGAGAGGGACACCGTAGGCAACAGAGCAAGCGTAAGGCTAGCCTGGGCTACATGCAACTCTCTGTGATATAGATAGATATATCAGCGAAGACCTTGAATGTGTCCAGATTTGCGGCCACAGCACACGAAGGCACTGTGCTCCTTTACAATAGCATTTCCTGCTGCCACCGGAGCCTAATTTGGGTCTGTTCCCCAAGGAATCCCAGTCTGATTAAGTGGTAAAATGGCTTTCTAATTAGGACAGGACAGGCAGTTTAGAAAAGTGTGATGTGTCCAGGAGGAAACAGAAAAGGCGGTTGGCGGGGCGGGGGTGTCATCTGGGGGAGGAAAGGGTGAGCCAGGCAGAGAGCAAAACAGCCGGCCCGGCTGAAGTGGAGCGGTCTGGACGGGAAGCCTCCGGTCTCTTCACTGCTGCTGCAACCCTGAGCAAGTAAACTGATCCTCACAGGCTGCCTGAGGAGTGGGGCTGGTTGCCTCTCGGTGCCCCCTACCCAGACAGTGGGTTGCACTGGAGGAGGGGGCATCTGCGCTCCTTCCACTCCTGTCCTTTCAGCAACACCAGTGGTTCTTGGAACCAAAGGTGGGGGCGCACACTCTTAGCAAACCCAGCACACAGGTGCCTGAGGTAGGGTTGCAAGTTTGAGTCTGTGTATGGGTGGGTTCAGGGCCAGCCTGAGCTACATGAAGAGCCCTCACCACAAAGAAACAAACAAAAGCAGGAGATAATCCTGTGGTAGAAGATACGCTCAAGACCTGGGTGTGAGCCCTGTACCACACACAAGGTTTATGTGATATAATAGGGCTGGAGAGGTGGCTTAACAGGGAAAGTGCTTGCTCTGAGAGGATGAGGGCCTTCAGTTGGCTCTCCAGCACGTGCGTGAAAGCCAGGAGATACAGCCTGCAATCCCAGGATTGGGGAGGTGGAGACAGGGTCCCTGGGGCTCACAGGCCATCCTGTCTGGCCTGATCAGTTTACTCCAGGTTCAGTGAGAGAGTCTGTCTGAAAGAAAATTAGATGGAGAACAATTGAGGAAGACACTCAATGTTGACCTGTGACCTCCACAGGCACACTCAGGGAAGGGTATCACACACACACACACACACACACACACACACACACAAATAGACAGAGCCAGGCATGATGGAGCATGTCTTTAACCCCAGCACTTGGCAAGTGGAGGCAGGCAAGTCTCTGTGAGTTAGAGGCCAACCTGGTCGACACAATGAATTCCAAGTCAGCCAGAGCTACATAGTGAGACCCTTTCTCAAATAAATAAAATTAAAACAACCAGTTATTATGTCACACACGTTTAATCCCAGTACTCGGGGAGGCAGAGGCAGATGATCTCTGTGAGCTTGAGACCAGCTAGGCACCCTGTCTCAAAAAAGAAAATAAAAATACTTCCATGTGAGGGCTGGGAAAATGGTTCAGCAGCTTGAGTGCTTTGGGTAGGAGCATGAGGACCTGGGTTCAGATCCCCAGATCTGTTCACCGCTAATCGTCCATCTGTAATTTCAGCCTCATGAGACAAAGATGAGGATCCCCAGAGCAAGTCTTGGTAGCAAGACTCACACGTGCATGCGCCCACATTCAAGCATGCATGAGGCACACAAGAGCACCACATAGAAAAGAATTAACAGCTATGTACAGTACAGTTATTGGGGTGGCTCATTTGAGCTGACGTTGCTGAAGTGTGCCTCAGAGTGTGTGATTGGTTAGCGATGACTTCCCAGAGGGAGGGTCTCTTGATCTCCCATGCGACTTTGGGGCCTCACCATTTCTGTGTGGTTGGGAGCTGCCCTAGGCACATGGGCTGTTTAGAAGCAGCGTCGTTGGCCTCTGCCCACTAGATGCCAGCAGCACACTCCTCTCCCGGCTGTCATTTTGTGACAGCCAGAAAGTGTCTTGAGATAGTGCCAAATGTCCCCAGGGGGCGGAAGGGGTGCGGAATTGCCTGTGATCGAGAATGACTGTGGTGGTCTTTGATAATGCCCTTGCGCCGAGGCAGGCTGGGTAGGCCGGTCTCCGTGTTTCCTCTTCCCTGGCATCTGCTCGGTGCTGTCTTGAGTCACCTGGCTGAATGCCCCCGCCACTGCCCCCCCACGTGGGGACTTCTCGGCGCCCTGAAGCAGCACGTCCAGACTGCAGCAGGAGCACTTGCCAGTGCTTTCAGTGGACGGGTTTTAGAGCCTTTGGGCGTGGCCGGTTCTGGGACATTGGTGCTGGCGACTGTGACCACAGATGCTTCGGTAACGATGGGGCAGTGATAAAAATTGTGCTCCCGGGCATGGGGGAGGGCAAGAGGGACAAGGCATGAGGAGACAGGGCTGCTGCTGCTGCTGCTGCTGCTGCTGCTGCTGCTGCTGCCAGGGAGATTAGCTCCAAGAGGTGACAAGAGTGCAGTGAGGCCAAGAATACAGGGAGGGGCTGAGGCATTGGTATTTTTGTTTTGCTTTTAGGGCTGGGATTGAATGTAGGGTTTTGTTCTCGCCGGGAACTCCTCCACCATGGCGCCCTCACAATAGCCCTCGCCGGTAGGTTCTAGCGCAAGAACTGGACCCTGCGTCACACTGCCAGCCCCTCACTGAGGATTGCACACGAGTGCCCTACGCTGAGCTGCGTCCTCAGCTCGCTTCTGTATTTTAAATTCCAACCACTCAGCCAAACGGGGTGGAACAGGCCTATAATCCAGTTTACTCAAGAAACTGAGGCAGGCTGGGTGTGCACACCTTTAGGCCCAGCACTTGGGAGGCAGAGGCAGACGGATCTCTATGAGTTGGAGACCAGCCTGGTCTATAGAGCGAGTTCCAGGACAGACAGGGCTGTACAGGAAAACTGTGTTTCAAAAAAGAAAGAAAGAAAGAAAGAAAGAAAGAAAGAAAGAAAGAAAGAAA